CCTTCAGAAATCTGTCAATCTTTTTTTAAGCAGGTTAAACGTTATGCTATCATCATTGGCATAAGCTTACGGCCCTGTACCTGTACTCACAACTTCCCTGACTTGTGGCAAGTTCTCCAGCTTGGCATTTACAACCATGGCTAAATCCTAAGGAGGGTTTAATAAAAAGATTAATTTACTCCTCCTTTCTCCTCTCTCTCTCTCTCTCTCTCTCTCTCTCTCTCTCTCTCTCTCTCTCTCTCTCTCTCTCTCTCTCTCTCTCTCTCTCTCTGGTTTCCTCCATGAGTCATGGTTGGCCATCTACAAGAACAAAATATCTAACTGAATAAATGTGTCTTCCAACTGCAGCATCTGTCTCCCTGGCAGGCTCTGCTGACAGTTGGGGCCTGGCTCAGGAGCTGTTCCTTCAAGAAGCTCTGTGGGGCTGAGCTATTAGAGGGCTCTCTCTTCCCAGGTGCTGTTTCCTACTGGTTCCTCCCAATTGGAAAGAGGGATTTGTATATATTTATCCTTCTGAGAATCTGCTATTGTGTAAATAGCTCCAGTTGAGGCCCCCGTGGGAAGCCACACAGGACAAGGGAGCTCTTGCATTTCTCTTCTTGCAGAGCCTCCATCAAATAGCTTAGCAATTCCCAAGGGTCTGCTTCTGGGTATTATTATGTAAGCAGTTTCTCCTTCAGAAAGAGAAAGAGATGTATGGAGACACTGAAATAAAAATGCCCACAGCTCTCTAACGGAATTTCAAAATAGCAACTTTCTTAAATACCAAGGAAAATACCTGGTTCTTCTCCAAATCCCAAGATATCCTGTGGTAGACAGTGAACGAGATGTTGGAGTGGGGGAGGGGAAGGAGGCAAAGGGGACTATGAATGGCATTGGAGGAGACATAAACTACACCACGTCATGCAGTAAGCTACAGCTGAGGAAGTTCTTTGACTTTGGAAATTCAGTGAAAAATATTTAGATAAAGACATTCTGCATTTTGTTTGGAGAGTGTTGTAGGTGGGGGCATGATTGCAGAGCCAAGGTATTCTAGGCATGGCACATCTGTCTTGTTCTAACTGGGTGCCTAAAATACTTCTGTCAGGCTCTCCCTCTACTTCAAAATTTCTTCTCAAAATTTTTCTTTTTCCTTTTCAAACAATGGCTCTAGCCTTAAAACCCCTGGAGGTTCTGGATTCTTACAAAAATTAGAGCCTGTCTTTCCTCTGCTGCTGTCAAGTTTCCTCATAGCACACAAGAGAGTAGGGAGCAGTCATGGAGGCCAGCTGTCTGTGGCTTGAGGTGTTTTTGAGTTCCCTGGAATCACGTGGCCCACCTTCTGACTTGAAGATAAAAAGTGTTTGGGATCAATTAACAATAACGTTCTCGTAGAAAGAAAAAGTCGTTGAAACTTAAGACTTAAGCATCTAAGAGAATCCAGTAGCTCCTTGCATTTAACATTTTCTAAGAATAAACACAGAGGAAAAGATTAGACCTTCAAAGATCTCACTTAGTAAGTCAGACAACCACAAAAAACTACACAGTGAAAGGATTAATCTCAAACAAAACTGGGAAAAGAGGATTTTTCATGAAACTGCTCCTCTGGCTAGATCGATTTTGTTTACAATAAGGAGTAGAATTTGAACTCATCACATATTCCTTTTTAGGTTTTCCTTGTGAATTAAGGTTGTTAAAGTAACGCTGCAATTATCTTTTTTCTCTGGCATGATCTATTTATACTATGAAATTCCCTTTTATATTTTTTAAGTTATATTAATTCAATATTCTCCTTAATGGCAAAAAAGTGGAATATGAAACAAATATTTATCTCACCATTTCTTCTCAAGAATTCTCTGATGTCACTTTAATATTACATATATTACATAATATACATGATACCACATATTGTTTTAAAGACTTAAAGTTTTTTTAGTTTTAAAGGTCATATTTAGAATGAATCCAACTATGAATATGAATGAGTTGGAGGCTACGCCTAAAGCTGGTGCCTTTTCAAGTAAAAAAAAGACTTACTAATAGTTCCATTTGTTTTCCATTAAAACTCTCCTCATTGTACTTACAACAGTCCGCATGGCAGTATCTGAGCCTGCTTGGACAAAGCATTTGCTTTGTGTGTATCAGATGCAAAATTTACTTAAATTCCACATAATTACAAGTGCATCTGCTAGGCTTTGTCACTGGTCTATACGAACATTTCCACAGTGTATACAAAGAGCAATTACCCAACAACTAAAGAAAAAGAAACAGTGATTTCTGCAAATTATAGCCAGCTCCTTTATCAAGGAATAAGTTTGTGCTAAAAGAATACAACCCCAAAACACTTAAAAAAATAAAAAAAGCTTTCACTCACACCACATACATTATCTACAAGAGAACAAAAAAGGAGCCTTTTCAGCCGTTAAATTACTAGGTATGAAACAAGGATAACTGCAATCTCGAATAAAATCATCTCACAAAGCATTAAAGTTCCCCTGAAAAGGGGTGGATGGGGTCACAAAATATCTCAACAACACAAACGTTCTATTTAAATCATTTTTACGCAGTGGTAAATGGTCTCATTCTCTGTTCGCAACAAAGTGTTACAAAAATAGTCACTTACCCTATTCCTCATTAATTTTGAGTTCTCTAATTTGAAATATAAGATCACAGACTCAAGAACATCAAAACAGAGAATATCTGAAAATAAAATTTGAAAGTATTGGCTTTATACATTAAGTTCTCGATTCAAGGTCTGACTATGGAGCTCCAATGGACCACTTGGTCAACAGCTCTTTCTCTCTTTCCTTCTCCCACCTTTTTTCCCCTTTGCTTTCCATTAACTTCATGCACAATCCCATTTCAACTGTCACACTCTACACATCCAGCCTTCTGTCAAAACCCAATCCAATTTTCAGACTTTTACACCTCATGCCAGCTAAACAACATCAACGGCACTCCTGTGCAAGGGCCTCATAGAGTAGATCTCTTCTTTTCTTTAAAGATACTTGCAAATCTCTCCACACTGGTCAAAATAGTAGCATAGGGATAATTTCAGAGAGAGAGAGACAGAGAGAGAGAGAGAGAGAGAGAGAGAGAGAGAGAGAGAGAGAGAGAGCTATGTAACAGGAACAAATTTTTGTGACTTTTCACTTATATGGAATCCATCAGTTTTGTGGTCACTTATTTCCTTTTCCACCTTCATTTAAATATATTCATTATCATTCTGTAAAATGTATTATGTTACTGGTCAAAGCTATTCGTCAGTAAAAAGCCATCTCCATATTCCCCAAACTGGAAAATCATCATTATCATTAATATTTCATAGAACTGCATTAAATGAGACAATATTCAATATTTAACTATCTAATCCTACAGTAATTTATATTAGAAAATACCAACCATGTGAGAATTCAGTCAGTCAGATTATTTTATTGGATGAACCTTTGTCATTATTAATAACACTTCAGTGTCTCATATTTTTTTCAGCACAGAGTGTAACATCCAAGGACTGAAAGTGATTTTGTTTCTAATTAATTCTCAAAATCCTTGGGAGACAGTGATGGAAGGATAAATATATTAATTCAGAATTGAAGAATTAAAGGCTGAGCCTTCAGATGCAAAAGTTCTGTCTGTGATATGGATTACTTGTGTGGGTCCTGTACCTCACTGGGTTTACTAATAATTTAGTAAGAGGCAGAATGCTTAAACCTCAGACAATCTAACCATACAAGTAAATGAAATGCATTTGTATGTTACAATTGTTCTTATTTCAAACTGACAAGTCGATATATAGTTTTATGATAGTTCATGCAGAAATAATGTTGCTGATTGATTTCCTGAACATTGTTAGGCTACCCAGCTGATTCCTCTGTCCTCTATACAAATTCCTTCTACCTTCTGTCTAGATCCTTTTGAACTTTGATATTCACAACTGGACAAAGATTGGTCCATTGTAGGCAATTTATACTTAACTTTGGGACAAGAAGAGTTCAAATGGATAACATAAATAGGATTCTTGGTGATGAGAAATGAATTGTCTAAGTTACATACTGTAGTTTGCTGTGTGTTTATAAAAATCAAAAGCATTGTGCTTAATACTTTTATAACCAGTAATAGCCTCTGACTTGTTTTAGGGGAAAAAAGAAAGATCTCTATCTATGTTGCTATTGACTTTTCAATTGCATACTCTGAGGTACTTGCTATATTTCACCTAAGATCCTATAGTTCAATATAAAGAATAACAAAAGATATTGAAGGGTTTTTGTTTACATGTTTTATTGACTCCCCTCTTTCAGTTTGAAGAAATTCTGCTTATCTCCTATAGACTACCTGCTGTAGTCTCACAGTACAGAACACAAAGCGTCAGCCTCAATAGCTTAGAGTTTTGGTAAGAGGGGTGAGAGCAATACAGAAATACAGGCCAATATCAATCAGATGGGGTATATCAGCCTACAACTTAGAATAGGAAACCAGAAAGCCTCACAATCAAGGGCAGAGTGATTTTCCATTTGCAAATGATTGGTGCAAGCAGACACATTTCTAGTAATGACAGCAATGGAGGTGCAAGGGCAGTAACTAGTGCCAGAGACACAAAGGCCTCCAGCTGAGCAACGAACCCAGTGACAGAAGCAGAGAGTTTGCCTTCCCATCTTTCTCAAAGTTCCTGAGATGTTCAACAGCCTTATCACTTTTCACTAAACCAAGATTACTCTCTTTTACCTCACAATGAGAACACGACCTGATTCTGAATACAAAACATTTCATCTTGCTTCAGTTAATTATATAACAAAGTAGGGAAATAAAGATGGGTTGTAATATTGTGAACAGAAAAAAATCTCTTATCAAAAAGACTTGCATCCAGAAGGACCCCCGCAGTCACTTATAGCCTACCTCTTAAGTCCTTAGACATTCTCATAATCAGCCAAGAAGGAATGAGCTGAGTGGCAAAGTTTAAAGAAAGAATGTATCACCAATGTCTCTACATATGTTTTTTTCACCTATTACTTCTCCAATTCAAACAGACAAGGAACAGACAATGGCAAAGCAATTCAGATGTTTTGGCTACTATTTGCTTGAGATGAAATATGATCATCTTGAAAGTCATAATCAAAATGAGCATTAATCAAGAAGCTGACAAGAGATATTGAAAGTCAGAACAGACTGCGCAAAGTCCAGGAAGCTATTACCTGAGGCTTTGGAAAGGGTCAGTGCCTCCGTGCATTCTTCCTTTACTTTACTTTCCAAGCTATTCACCTAATGCTCTTCAAAAACATTACCCTTCCCGCAAATGACTGATAAGAGATAAATTTTCAAGCATGAGCATGTGAAAGTAAACCCCAGAACTTGCATATTAACCCTGCAATTTCATGTTCTGTGACGAAAGGGATCTTTAGAGACAAGTTTTCACCCCCCGGGAAGTGAGGAATAAGTTAGCATTTTCTCCTCTTTCCAGTTTCTGGGATTTTTTAAAACTACCTTCTTGATCTCTCTTTTTTTAAAAAAATGAAATTATGTATCACTTATAAACTATGTGATTGAATAGCTTGGCCAATGAGGTGACTTAGCCACTTTTTCACTGATTCAAGGCACACAGGCAATAGGCACAGACCCTGCAAAGCTCCGGAGCTGAGATGTCTTCTTCCTATTCAGAAACCCAGAAGTTAAGAAGGACCTGACCTCTGACACCAGAACATACAGTCTAACACTCATCTCTCTGGCTTCACCCTTTAGGTAAGTATGTCTCTTACTAGATAGGCGAATGTTTTCAAATGAAAAAAAGGAAAGGAAAGAAAGCCGACCCACTAGCTTCCTGACCTTGCCTAAAGCTATGTTTTTCATAGAATAAATACATTTGAAGTTTGCAAGGAAATTCTTCAAGGTGTGCTATACACATGTGTTAAGATAATTAGGTAAATAAATAAAATGGAAGGAAAGGGGTGTGCATAGTGGCAAAAACTTCTGAATATCCCCAGTTAAGATCTTATTTTAAACATATATTCATAAAAGGTATTTTTACCTAGACACTATAAGCTTCTAGTGAACAAGCCAGTAATCCTCATACACATGCCCTAAACTGTGTATGATTCTGTGTACACCCCATGGGGGCTTAATAAACACTTATGAATTGACTGACAAGAGAAAAACCAAGAAATGACAACCTTCAGGGTAGCCATAACACAATTTTAACTTGAAAATTGCCCAGAAATAGACTTCACAATCTATGGGAACATACACAAATCATATAAAAAAGAAGTGGTGCCCCTCATATACCTAGACTGGCCTTAGGGAATAGCTTAGTGAAAAATCGCTGCTATGTGAAGGAGAGTTCAGCCTCTGTATCTATTTACTGTTTGGCTTCTGCAGCGAATCCAGCTACAAGCAATGTTTATTCTGAAATAAAAGGCATTGTAATATCATGTTTAACATTAAGATTAGAAGAAATACAAAGTTGTGCTCAATCTTTAACGTTTTTCTGTAAGTCCACGAGCATCACCCACCCTTCCTTTCAATTCTCAAGATCCATGCTGCCACATTAATGTCTCTAGATAAAAAAAAAGTAAAGAAACATCGTAATCTCTGATGGTGAAATAGCTCTTTAGTGGAAGCTTTCCCAAACAAATGGAAATTAGTAGTGAATCACAGATTTAACCAGCATTTTCACAAAACGACGCATTCATAGCGCTGTGTTCCTGAAAACACACCTCATTCCCGAGTCCTACAAGAAAGCTTTCAAATGTCTCAAGTTTGGAAGGGCTGCTTTCTTCCCTGAAGTTCATATTCACTTTCCTACCCTGGGTGGTCAGACTGGGTCAGACATAAAGAATTGCCAGTTCTTTTGAGTGACGAGTGATCTCAATGACACTTCTCCTATCAATTTGGTTTTGCCACATTTCTGTGAGTCAGTGGCCAGTTAAGTCACTCACTACTTTGAAGAGCAATTTCTACCTTAGTAGATTTCCAAAAATATGATGCAAGTGGGTTGGTGGGATAAGAGAGAAACTACACCCAAGATACATTCTGTTAGACTAATAGGGTAAAACAAGAGATATAATCAGGATTAGTCGCAGAGGGATTTTAAAGTGAAAATTCAAAGAGGAATAATAAAAGCCTGCCTACATACACATCTAAACCATCAGAGGTCAAATACAACAACCTCTTTTAAGTATAGCAATGCTGTCTTAGCATTGGCTTATTTGAGCTGTTCACAAGCTCAGTAAAACTCGGCACACACTGTCTTATTCCCTGTCTTCTAGTACGATCTTATTCCTTCTGGCTATCCCATACTGGAACTGAAGACCAAATGCAGTGCCTTGTACTTGCTAGACTAATGCTATACCATTGAGCTTACATTATTGTTTTTACCTATTCAGCCCCATATATTACTAATACTCTTCCCTTTCTCCCCCAACTCACAGCTCTCCCTTGGATGGACACTGTCACCTGCTTGATGAGAAAAATCAATCTGTTTTCCAATCTACACTTTGAACATCTAAATCTCTGTGTTTCCAAGAGCATAAAGCATGTTAGACTTTTTAAGGGTACTGATTGTGTAGGAAAGTATAGCTTCCAGATTTCCTGTGTCAGCCCAGACACACCTTCATTTTCCAATGATATCCTTCAGATTTTGGATTCACACCATAGCCTAGGAGAAAGGACAAGTTGACTTGGCCTTCTCCTCTTTATTTTCTTGGCTGCCTCATGTAGCTTTGAGATTGATGATTGATCGTTTTTCCACACTCACCCACAGCCTTTTCTGTAGCCACATGCAAATTTGCCAATGGGTAATTAAGCAGCAGACACATCCAATAAATATAATAAATAAATTTGATTTTCCCCCTCTTAGTAATTGGTTTCATCTGACTGAGTCTGATGGTGTGTAGGAATATATAAACAGGATTATGAAAGAGAAAAATTAGTTGCTGGGTCATAGGAATTGTACAGCCTTAAGTACTGTGAAATGTCTCTGTAATGTCTATGTTATTCATAGGGTTAAAATAAAGAAAAGCAGGTTATTCTTTCTCAAGATGTTTCAGTGAAGTTAAAAATAAAACGGAGTCAAGACTATCACTGTAAGAAAAGGTTAACCAGCTACAGAACTTACTTTCCTTTCTTAAGTACCCTCTTCCCTCTAACTCACGCTGTTCTTTCCCTGGACCACCACTAAACTGGGACCACAGTCCCAGACCTTGACTGAGGTCTCCAACTTCTCACATCAGACAGGGTTACATGAATAGAAATGACTTGGTTATACTAGAAGAAAGAGAGTGCAAAGATATTTGTGTAAAATTACTGCCTGAGCAAGTGCTAAAATGAAATGAAATTAAATCACTTTTCCAAAACTCCCTACACACAAAGAAAAAAACATTATCTTTCATTGTAAAGAGAGCACCCACTTCTATTTCCATTTGATTTCTGGGATATCATTTTGACATCAGATTGCTCTTGCCTCCAGAGGTACAGTACCTTGTCTCTGGAATCACGATATTGATTATTGAAGGAATAAGCTAAGGTAAAGCCTAAAAATGTACTCTAGTATAGTTTTCATTTTTCTGTATTTCTTCTACATAATCTCTACTGAAATACAAAGTATATATTCAAATGTCCTCATACTCTCAATGCTTTATAAAGGATCATGGTTAATATTACAAATGAGCTGCAAAGAATCTGTAGTAATAATTATGGTTTTAAAAGTACAAATATATAGATTACTACAGGCTTAGATACAGTCAGCTTCTATAATCTGTTTTGTTCTTAGATATAATTTAAAAACCTAATTTAAATTTTTTCAACATTTGCAATGAAATTTTTATGTAGTTTAAAAAAATGATACAGTGCTTACATTTTTCAAAATAGTTATTTTACACAACTAGATTTTCTTAACCTCTGCCCAAATAATGCCTATTTCAGTATACCTTCCCTATATATACTCCTATTCCTCTCCTTGAGGCAGAAGAAATATCAAAGCATTGATTATCAATTAAACCCTACACGATAACAAAAACAGCATTTAAACATAAGCTTCTACCAAGAAACCTGTCCTCTGTAAAGATTCAGAATAGAGACATCACCCTCAGTATCAACTTTACCTTCTAATAAGTAAAGACTGCGGAACCTAAATAAATTAATACATTTATGATTTACACCTTTGAACCATATTCCCAAACATATTATTTGACAGGGTACAAAACTCTATTTTCTATAATCTTACAGTACGCACAAAAGACATTTCTACTAAATATATATAATGCAAAATGTCTAATCTTATAGAAAAACAAGCCAAAGCTTACAAAGCACAAAATAGCACACTCATTAAACCAATAACATGTACTTTCTTAAAGCTGAGTTATAAACTTTTGCAAATCTACCTTGTGTTATACTTCAATGAAAAGAACAAGCAAACAGAAAAACTTCATATTTGTGTCTCAGAATATGTAACAGAGCTACCTCAGAGAAGACAGAGTAGCCGGAGGCACAGTCCACAAATCAGGAGATCTGTAGACAGGATCCCCTTCCCAACTGCAGGCCAGTCTTGAGAACTGGGCACCTCAAAGGAACCAGCTCTCTTCCCAAACACACAACACTGTACTTCTTTCTGACAGACTAGGCTGTTTAGCACTTGCCATGCATGCACACTCTAGCAGGGGCTACACACTGTAAGCAATATGAGGGATGCTGTCAACTGGTTCATTTAAGTCACATTGCTAAGTGGAGGGGGGGGATTCTTTACTGAGGGAAATAGATTTTACTTCAACATTCCACTGGCATTTTTTGCTTGTATGTCTCTTTATTAAAGTTGCAGAGTTAAAACACCTGCACTCTTTTCACTCACAGCACAGCCAGCTAGCACATAACCACTGTCTCCATCCTGAGAATTCCTTTTGCCTCTAAACACTGCAATTCTATGCCAAGGGCAGGTGGACCAATGAAAGACTTTTAGAAAAAAATCTAAGGAAACTTAGTTCATTTGTGAACTCTTCTCAGTATTCCTCATGTTTTGGTATGCAGTAACTGATTTTTGAAGGTTGTACTATTTCAAGTTCAGAATCACACTGTAGTATACACAATATATTAGACTGTGCAGGGACACATGAATTTTAAGGAAAGACCTATATGCTTCTACAGCTGATGGAGCCATTTGAAAAAATTAGCAGCACAACCCTTAGTTCATCTAAAATAATTACATTAAGGGTTTCGTCTTTCTTACCTGTGAAAAGAGACCAAGAGAGCAAAAATAACTGTGTTGCCAGTTGCACATATTACTAAACAATGTGACTAGTTATTATATAAATCAATCTAGAAACCAGAAATACAAAGAATAATTTAGAAAAGCTGCTACTTACTCCCAGCAGATGAAATTATATAAAATTACTGTTATATTAAAAAAATTAAGTGCAACATTCCCTACTTACAAAACTTATCCACTTAATCAAATACCACTACCCATCTTTTCACTAAAAATATCTTTTAAAACTGCAATTATTTAGGTGCTATCTGATGGCTGGAAGTCTGCTCCACCTCTTCTGAGTGTGGATGGAGAGTGTGAACACACCAGGGTTACAAAGAGTCAGTAGCAGATCAAAGAATAGAACTGTTGCTTCATGCAAAGTAAAGAGGAAAAAATGCTTTGTCCACTGCCAAGTGTGAGATAAGCAGGTGGCTAGTAAGTTTATCCTCTCCAAATCTTACTATCAGTTTAACTTTCAGCCCTCAGATGAGGAGGAATTTTCTTTCTTTAAAAAGCCCTTGGAAATGACCTTGATCATATTTCACCAGAAATCACTTCTCAAATATCAGTCTGCACAAAAGGGAAAACTACGAAGGAGCTGGGTGATACAGGTCCTCAAGAAACGCACACAGGTAGCTCAAAGTTCCTCTCATTCACACAAGGAAAGGGAATGGCAATTTCTTTTAAGAAGCATTCAGTAGGCCTAGCATAATCAACACTTTGGACATGCAGAGAAACGTCCATTCCTATAAAAATGAAAACAGGAACTCCAACAATAGAATCAGACATGATTGTCAAGGTCTGTGAATCCACGGTCTCAGACACCTGTTTTTCTACACAGCCCTTTTGCTAAAAAGAAGTTACTTTCTCCAGGAAGTACAAGGCTTTTGCAAACACTGAAATGCCACAGGAATACCAATTGAGAGTAAACTCTCTAATTTACCAACAAGCCGGTCAGGATGATGATACTATTTTGATACATTAACCTGAAATCATCATCAGGCTCATGAGTTAAAGGCTCTTAGTGAAGATTTAATAAAAAACTTAACGATAATAAGAAACCCATCAACCACACCAACAAGCCGCAGACATGCCACCACAGAGAACCACATTAGTGTAATGCAAGTCTAATTCATTGAATAGTTGTATAGCTTGCCATGGAGCTGAAAACATAGAATATTTTAACACAAAATATCAAAGCTTTTTAGAAGTTGCCAGGAAACTAGAAGTCCACAGAGGGGTGGGGTGGAGAAAAACAAAACAAAAAACAACCTTAGCAGGAAAAGAAATGTGTTCCTTAGATAAAGTCCTGGTCTTCCTCTGTAGTGAAGATGCTAAAAGAAAGCTAATTGTGAGGTTTGTATAGAAAGGTATGTTTTGGATATGAACCAATTAGATGTTTTGCCCAGCGGGTCCATCAAAAGAGTTCTCAGTGTGTTCAGCTCTTAGTGTCCATGCTTGTGGGTGTTGTGGACTACTGCTGTTGCTGCCCAGCATGGGGTACACTGCCCTGCAATTGGTCACAGAAGGAGAATACTAAGATGTTTGGATGCCTTACGTTTAGAGGATTGGGGGTTACTATGTGAATGCATTTCTGTTTCTTTATGATTCAGACAAGCAAATCCTTCAGTCAAAAACTGTTCTAAATGAATGGAAGTGGGGTGTTTTTCTCCTCCAATTTAATCAAAATGGTAAACTCAAGGGTCCATGAAAATATTTTAAAATGGCAATATCGCCGTCTCAAGAGAGTCCTGAATAAACAGTGCTCTCGTTCCAAATAAGATGCCTCATTTTTTATTACTCAGATACAAAGGCAGAAACAAGGTTTAGATCTCAGGAATTTTAAGAATGGTTTTGTCAACCCTAGGGGAAACAGAGCAGGTGAATCTGCATGATGGTTTAAGGTAGATTTGCTCTAACATAAAGCAAAGCCTGATTATTTGGGTTGATTTCCAGTTGGTTTTACTCTTGAGTCCTGAATATACTGCACTGCCTTCTGCAGTTCTCCCAACATCAGCTAAGTTTCCATTAAAGTTTAACAGTGTTCCTGCAAGCAGTACTCCCCACACTTAGGCATCCTGATGCTCTTGGGTTGAGCACCACACAGCAGAGGCAGTCTTCTTTACAGAATACTATTCTTGCTGTGCAAAAACACATGCTTCTCGGGACACTGATAACCTGAGTCTCCTCATCTGAGTTCAGAGCCCGTGCATTTGGACGTGACAATGCATGAGCACAGCCCCCCCACACACACCTCTACCTTACAGCTCCCACATGCCACCCATTCATTTCTGAATGGCTTAGCAGAAAATTCCCAACCCCAAACCCATTTCCTTCTAAAACACTGATTTGCCTTTATTTATTGACCCTTCCATCTTCCTTGTGAACTGGAACTGAAAACTTAGGGAGGAACAAAAAAGACAAATGAAATGCTGTAAATACCCAGAACCCTCTAAAGAACTCAAATTATTTGATGACATTAAAGAACTATTATGGGTGATATCAAAAATAATGTTTAAAATGGATCCTGGCAGCAAGGGTGATGGAGTGAATTCTGTTTTTAAGAAAGAGTAAGGGTCCAATTTGCATGCATTATCCTGGCTATTTTAAATAATTTCATTCCCTGTGTGTAGCAGAAACTACTCTCCCTCTCCCCAACTGACAAGACGCTACTTCAAGTAAGAGCTGAGAGAGGGCTGCTCTGAGGTTAGCAAGCTCTGTATGTCTCACAATTTTGAATAAAACAATACCAGCAACCTCCCTGCTTCTTCAAAATCCTAAATTTATTATTAAGTAAATTTAGCCATAGCTCAATCAGTGGAATGGAAGATACACTGAGCCACTTATCTGTTTATTATCTTTGCAAGCCACATGAAAAGCCGTGTCTATTATTGCTTCCTGCAAATATGCAGCAGTGTAATGCAAAACAGCATTTTTAAAGAAATTCTCTTTCGGAATGTAAAGGATTCTTCCAGCAATTTTGAATATTTTAGCCAGAGTGTACCATACAGTAGGTCTGGAATCACTGGCATCGGTCATGCTGTTAAAACTGAGTCAAAACGCATTGTAATCCTGGAGAGCGATAACCTTAAACATCAATACAATGTTAAAATGAATCCTAAAAGAATCCCTACAATTGCGATGAACATTAGAGAGAAAGCGGCAAGTCCTTCTGCAGGGAAATAACAGCCGGCTCTACCAATCTTCCCCTCCCCGCCCCCAAACTCATGCAACTAATGATGACCTCCCGAAGTGC